GTGTCTATCACCCAGTCACCCCATCCCTCCCACCCCACCCCCCACTCCAACAACACTCAGTTTGTTTCCTGCGATTAAGAATTCCTCATACCAGTGAGATCATATGATACATGTCTTTCTCTGTTTGACTTATAGAATTAAAGTGTCTTTATTTGTAAAATGTGGGAAACAGCATAGGCTTAGATGTAAAAAATACTTAGTACAGAGCATGGCTTCTAGCAAGTGTTTAATAAATAACACATTTCATTTTCATCTTGGCATCGCTTTGCTTCTGCAACCTCTCCTAAAGTGTCACTGTGTTTCAAGGAGCAGGTGTCCTTGCCTGGAGGAGTTTGAAGTGTGTGCGTGTGTGTCTGGTGGTGGTGGTGCACGAAGGCTGGCAGGGGGGGCATGGCACTCAGGAAAGTCACTGATGAGGCTTTAGCACTAGTCCTGGCCCTGTGGACTAAAAGTCACATGTCAGGAATGTCTAAGAGGGGATGGGGAAGGTGGGGGACAGAAGAGCCCCTGCCGACCAATGGCTGTTCATCCTTTGGCAAGAGTCTGTGGCTACCCTGACCCCCAGTCTTGTCTTCCCTCACCTCCAGACGCTCTTTTCAGTTAACACTGCCGGATGACCCGCCAGCACACAAAGCTTGCAGACAGCTATTCTGCCTCTCCTCTTAAACCCTTCAAAGTGTATCACTGATATAAATATTTAATTCTACAATTAAATGAAAATTATTTAATATGCCTAAGTGGATATGCCATACACCTATGGTTCAGTATTTGGATGCTCATAGTACCCCAACTGCAAAACAGCAATCAGAACAGACAATATGATAACCCCTATCCCAATTTTCATCCATCTTACCCACACACTGTAGCCCCGAAAATGTGAATATACACATTCACTGATTTGCAGTTATGTCCCATTCAAACTTTCCTGGGAAGCAAGAGAGTCAGAACTGCCTTAATAAATGAGGATTATTTTGTCTTGTTGCTATTTACCCACCTTTTCAGGGCTGCAATTCTTTGGAACTTCCCTTTTACATTTCCTTTCTCATCTGGTCAACATCAGCACTTTGCTGCCATTTGTTTTCCAAGGACATTTGCCACTTACTGCAACAAATGGCATTAATCCAGTTCAGAGCATGAGGCTTTTTTGATTATTGACTAATAAGTGTACTCATGTTTATGAGTGCAAGACAGAGAGACAGCACAGGTTGTAAAAAAGGCTAGGTATCAAGAATTAAAAGAAATAAGTGTTTATAAAGCCTCAGGCAAGATGTCCACACGTTGCTGATGCTATGTAAGTATTGAGTTTCCTTACTCCTTTTCTTCTCTTTCAGTATTTGCATCTGTCACTAACTAGTACTGGGACCTTGGGCAAATCAAGGCACTTCATCTTTCTCGACTTCAGTTTCCTCAGATATAAAATTAGGAGGGTTGCACCATATTTTTTGTGTTCAAAGCCATTTTTTCCCTGAGTCTTCTCATGACTCCATTGACTATTTGGAAAGAGTGGGAAGGTTATTTCTGCCGCGTTAGGCAAGAAGGTCTTTCTGGGGTGCCGGGAGGGAATGGAACCCACGATTTACTGAACATCTCTCGTGAGCCAGGCACTTTCACATACCTTTATCTTAGCTAACATGCTTCAGATCAGGCTGATCTCAGCAAGACAAAACCCCACAGAACTGAAAAGTAAAGGATTGCTGATGTTACCTGTTTCTACTTCACATTAATTTCCCAGAAACTCAAAACACTGCAGCTAATTCCACATTAATGTAGCCCAGGGGTCCCCCAGATTTATCTTACGGCTTAAAATAAGTTCACCATGAAGTCCTGGCAAAACTCAAAACAGAAGCGAGAAGTCCCAAATCAGGACCAGTTTTCTTTTAAATACTTTCAAAATAAAAGAACCCCCTCTCCTTGCGGTGTGGGAGAAACACAGCCTCCGCGCACCCCAGGGAGGCGGCCGCATCCCCACCCTTTCTCCACCGTGTGCCCCCAGCCCTCCTTCAGGCTCCTCGGCTGCGCCCCCGCCCGCTCCGGCCCCTCCGCGGTCCCCGGGGGACCGCGCTGGCCCCAGGGCGGCGTAGGTCCGCCACACACACCTCTCGTCCCAGCGTTAGGCCCGGGGGAGGTGGAGGACGCGGAGAGCGGGAAAGAAAGGGCCTCGCGACGCCGACCTTCCAACCGCGTGGTCTGTGGCTCCTACGCCTGCCTGCGTGAGGCGCAGTCCCGGGCCCCCACCCCACACTCTGCGCGGGGCCGCGCCGGCACGGGACCTCCCTCTTCGGCCGCCGATCTGCTTCCAGGGCAGAGGGAAGAGGCGGTGACGGGGCGGGGCGGGGGCTGCGACGGGGCGGGGCGGGGGC